AATTTATTAATCTATAAATTAGCAGATTTCTTCATATGATTAATAACACATGAACAGCTGAGAACCTACTGGATAATTTCATCTTAGCAATATTTTAATAAATTTACCTTGTAAATCAAGTACCAGTAACTCCCCTCTTGTATATTCGTAAGTCCAGTGGCTAAAGGCTAGCATGATCTCTTCCAGTGTATTAGTTGGAATAATCTCATCACCGTTATTATTGTTGTATTTTCTAAATTCTCCAGTCATACATTCTTCTACAGCAAACCACTGTCCTGCTGAATGGCAATACAGCAGGAAAACTTCAAGGAACCTTATGAAAAATAGTTACAGGTATTACTAGCAGTTTAGTTGATAAGATTCTAATTGATCTGCAAAATGGGCAATTAAATATTCAACATCAATGATGAAGGTCAAAAGGGACTGCCATCCACATAATACACATAATAAAAGATTTCAGAAAAATTTAAAGATTTACCTTGGAGAATATGGGATGGATTTGGGTTTCATTTGATTGAAGGCAAATGTGAGCTTTTGTGCCGCTCTCTGTTGTTGAATTTCCTATAGAAGTGGTAAAAAAAAAAAAAAAATATTTAAACTAAGATTTTATTTGGTTTATTCATACTTCAAAAATGAAAAATATGAAGCTCAAATTATGTTCCACTGTTAAGCATTCACTGGCACTTACTCTGAGACAGAGATGCAGAACTGTATCTTCTTTATAAATACTTGACCATGTGTTAACCACCTCAGGAAGAAAAGATTTGATAATGTAAAGATGCCCTGACTTGAGGATATCATGCTCTGACCAGGTACACTGCACTTTGACAGCTCTTCGCAAACCTCCGCCCATCTCTTCTTTACTTAAAAACTCTATTTTGGCACAAAGTCCTAGCTGTGACCAAGAAGACATGCTGTTATTCAGTATGTTGGGTGAACTCTCTTCCAAACGATACACTGTGACAGGCTCACCTGCAACATGAATGGAAATAGTTTAAGATCAAATTATGACTCTTTAAAAATGACAAAATAAAAATTGGTAGGTATTTTTAGTTAAGATTAAGCAAGGAATGAAAGATAAAATGGACTGAGTTATAGTTTTATAAAAAGAAGTTTAAGAGCAACAAATGATAGGAAATCAAGAATGTACTTTCATAATCTCTCTGAATTCATGTGTAATGATAGACATTTTTGAAATTCTGAACATTTTTAAGAAAAACTTTTAGAAAGCAACTAAAATTCTAAACACTTTTCTGAGTTAAACTTTTAGACAGATTTGAGCTATCTGTTCCACAGATTCTGTGATATCAATTTATATACACATTCGTTACTAGACAGTGGATCAAGAACTTTTCTGAATTAGAACACACCATTGCTTCTAGACATACCAGTAATAAATTCCATACTTCTGATGCTTCCTTTTTCCAATCAAACACATCTCACCCCTGCAGTAGTTAGATTAAGAATTTATACGAAACTGACAATTCTTTATGTGATCCCACCCACATTCTACATTATAGCTAAAAATAACTGAAGGGATTATTTTTCCATTCATTCATTCATTCTTTTATTTATTTACTGGATTTACCTCTTGGAGGCACGGGTGTGAATGGAATGCTTTGTGATAACCTCATCAAGTTGTTTCTTTCCACAGCTGCATAAAA